GCCATGGCGCGCAGCGCTGCGGTGGGCGCCGCCGGGCCGCTCCCCCCGGGAGCCCAGACCGACAGCCCCGCGTTGAGGAGCTCCTGTGAGCCCGAAACCGAGCAGGTTATTGATCAGGAATTTCCCAAGGAGGCCCGACTTCTGCTGCAACTTCGGTGGAGTTATTGAAGAAAAAGGCAGAAAAAATACTGCTTTGTCGTAGCGCTTTTTCCGTACGCACCGATGGGCTCATAGAATCGGCCGGTTTGGGCGGGAAGGGCCCGTTAAAGGCCATCCAGTCCCACACCCCGCCGTGGGCAGGGACATCTCCAACCAGACCAGGTCGCTCCGAGCCCCGTCCAACCTGAACTGGGATGTTTCCAGGGATGGGGCATCTCCCACCTCCCTGGGCAACCCGGGCCGGTGTCTCACCACCCTCAGCGTAAAACATTTCTGCCTTAGATTGCACCTAAATCTTCCCTCTTTCAGTTTAAAGCCATTACCCCTCGTCCTGTTGCAACAGGCCCTGCTGAAAAGTTTGTCCCCATCATTTTTTGTAAGCCCCCTTTGACTACGGAAGGGCTTGCTGCTAAAAGATTAAATATGCTCACATCCCACGGCCTGTGATACTGCTTCTGTCGTTTGGCGATTTTTTTTTTTTTTTTTGTACTATGTAAAGGTATTTAATTTGGTCATTTATACATTAATACATTTTCTGAAACAGTCAGTGTAAAATAATGGGGTATCTATTTTTTTATTTATTTCTGAACGGAAAAAATAAATATGCTTAAAACCCTTGCTGTGGCGATGACAAACCTGAGTGTTATTTTACAGCTCTTTAAGGCCATTTTCCTTGGAAAGTACATTCATTTTTCAGAGAGGTAACACTTCAATTTTTAGAAACTCTTCTGTCTTTATTTCAAAATTGGGAACCTTTTGGTAATCAATGGTAACTATAATAATTGATGTTTCAAAGATTTGGGAAAGCAGAGGCATAATACTTAATAGCATGATATTATTTTGTCTTTCAGAAGTACAAATATAATGTCAGGTGGCTGAAAATTTGTCTGTCAAAATGTCAAGTAAGTTTTC